TGTACTCATAGTCGTGCATGCCGTAGTCGTTAGACCATTGACCTCGCATCCCTACAAAGCCGGGACGGAGCACGCCGGGTTCTCACCGGACCAGGCTCTCACATCACCAAGCGCGAAGCGCCGTGAGGTATTCGGCGAGTCGCATGAAGGGTGCGCTGCATCCTGCTAAGGGTGTTCGGCATCCTGTGCTTACTTCCTTGCGTACGGGTTCTCATAGCCGTGCATGCGATAGTCGTTAGATCATTGACCTCGCATGGCGGGAGGGGGGCGAGAGAATAAACAAGAAACGATCCTTCGGAACCGGGAAAACCGCAAAGTTATTCGTCCTCTGCAGCGGGTGCACAGGAAGCAAGTAGACTTACCCAAGGCACGTGTGCTGAAGAACCAAGCACCGGACTACAACCAGGGAGAGAAAAAAAGCAGGACGGCACCGTTGTTTCGGTTGCATCGCGCACCGCTGCAACAACTCCGCACCACAAACGACGAACACACAACACGCACACAGCAGCAACACAAGGCCGACGGGAGAGCAACAGCATTACCCCGCACCTTGCCGGTGGAAACCCCCGGAGGCGTGTTTGGCAGAGACTTCCCCGGGTTGCGGCGGATGTGGCGCATCTTCCGGTTGGGGTGACTAATGTTGGTCTGGGTCATTAAAGCCAGGTCCACGAGGTACATGTACCTGCTCAAAATACGTTTCGCAAACGCCGGCGGGCGGGAAGGGGGGAAGGGGCGGCACTCATGCAGACGCATGCCGTATGCGTAGTCGTAAGACCATGCGACCATTTGATCGGGTAGGGGGGGCGTTGTTCTTGCCGCGGGTGGGTGAGCGAGCGAGAAGAACGGTGACTGCCGCTGTTCACAAGGCCTGCCATGACTCTGACTTGTCTTCGCCACGTGGGATAAGCTTGTTTGCTTGGCTAAGAACTTGGTGGTTTTCAAGCACAGAACATACGTGTGGACGGCCACCCGCCCACGCGCTTCTTCATGAAGAACCAACAAATGTCGTCAGTGGGACTGCAGACCTAGTTTTGCTGAAAACGTGGCATCTGGTGTGTTAATTGGTGCCAGGTCAGCTGGCCCTTCTCTCGGAGCACTCCGAAATACGGGTGCTACACGCACGGCAATACTTGGGAGACAATCCCCGATGCGCACGATGCTGCGGGACATTTATGGACGCTATCTTGAGCGTCTTTGCCAAAGCGAAAGAACGACCTGTCATGACCCATAACGACACTCAACTTTTGATCCAATATTACTTAGTTACGCAACTGAAGCGGCACTGCATTAACTCACGTTCCGCTGGTGACCACTCTCTGGCTCATCGACGGGTTCGTCTGGAACCTGCTCAAACGGGACGCAGACAAAGGGTGACAGCAGTAGCGGGGACTCAAAATACGCGTACCACGTGTGCATGTGGGGGTCGTACTTGTTTCTTGCCACGGGCTGCGACTGCTACCCTCGCACGCACACACCACCAAAGATCCGAAACAAAACGCCGCACATGAATACCCTGTGCCTGAGCAGCTCCAGTTGCTACAACCGCGGCGCCGCCACTGCCATCGTAATCGCACCCTCGAGGGGAGGGGGTTGGGCTCCAGACTCACTCGGTGTTGAGCTGCTCAACGACAATCGCGGCGCTGTCGTCGTAGTCGTACCAGCCGTCGGTTTTCCCTGAGAGGGGGTCCAAGTGTCGAGGGGACACACGATGACGGGGTCGACGATGCAGCAAAGCGGAAGCAAGACAAACGGGTGCGATGTCACGTGCCGCACGGCCTGGTGAGGAGCGTGCCATGCTGGGTTTCTTTGCGAAGCTTGCTATTTTTTCTCTTCTGCGGGGGGGAGGTTGCTTAGAAACAGAAACTGACCCCTTCCTTACACTTCCCCACCAGATTGGTCCTCCATGTAACCACGTGTGGGAAGGCAGACAAACAAACACACCGTCCTTTCTCATGGGATGGGTATCTCGCCGCGAGTGTGTAGAACTTTGGCGATGGCCGGAACAGCACACGTGAGCAGGGTGGACCCTGGGACCCAACGCCATTCTTGCTTTTGTCGTAAAACGATAACGAATAACATCGACGGAACGGCGCACATCGCACGGGCGACCCTTTTCGGCGTCCGGTTTGTTCTCACCGTCGATGTTGTCGTCGACCCAGTACTGCCACGCTTCCGCCTGGACCTGGGAAGCGTTGGGGCGAAGGCACTTGTACTTGCCTGGCGTGGCGCCGCCCGCGAGCAAACGAGAGTATGACATCATCGCGACAACGAAGCGAGTGAAGTCAGGCGCCTGTCAGCAGTAACAGCGGTGGGGACAACCACCCAACACCAGCACTCTACAAGCGGCAGGCGAAAAAACAGCAAAAACATCCGCGGCAGTGGCGGCAACAACAAGCACGGTATCCATCGACGCACCTTGCGGTTTCTGGATATAGCTTGTGTCACATTTCGTGGCCAATCAACTACCAGGCTGACGACAATCAACAGACAAGGTATCGAACAACACCCCTTTTCAACAACCCGTTTCCGACCCACAAAGCCACGTTCACTGCACGCATCCCCCACCCATGGGCAAGGCCAGCACAAGAAAGCACTACTGCTGCACCAGAACCTTAAAAGCCAGAACCAAAACCACGCGCCTTTGTTGACAACGTGGCGGTCCTCGTGGTCGTCCACGTCCCACTCGTTCGCCGTCTTCTCCTCGAACTTGGCGGCGAAGAGAGCCGAGGCCTCCTCGATGGTGTCGAAGGGGCCCTCCAGCTTGCCCTGGCCAGACGTACCGGTACGCCCCCACCGGGTAAAGAAGTAGAACTGCCGGCCGGGAAAGGGGGGGGTGTCACGAAGGCTTGTCGTCGTTCTCAGACCCTACTGGTGCTGCGTACCACCACCACCGTATGTATCGTGCACGGGCGGCGCTTCAAACTGATGTTCCCGGGTTGGTCATTCTTGAAACGGCAGGAGGGGGGGGAAATAGAACACGGCCAGCCAGCAACACCTTGGCGATACGTTCGGCTACACAAGATTTTTTATCCGTCCTAACATTTCCAACTTCCTTCTGGGCCGTGCCCCGGAGGAGCTTAGCTACTCGAAAATCGAAACCGTTCGAGGCACGGAGGGGGGGTGTACTCATAGTCATGCATGCCGTAGTCGTTAGACCATTGACCTCGCATCCCTACAAAGCCGGGACGGAGCACGCCGAGTTCTCACCGGACCAGGCTCTCACGTCACCAAGCGCGAAGCGCCGTGAGGTACTCGGCGAGTCGCATAAAGGGTGCGCTGCATCCTGCTAAGGGTGTTCGGCATCTTGTGCTTACTTCCTTGCGTACGGATGACAGCTGCGTTTGACTTAATTTCTTTTCTGGTGCTTTCACTTCCTTAGACAGTTGTAAGCACTATGTAACGAGGCACGGAGGTGGAGGCGCAAACGGACCAACGGGAGCCGCGGCCAAGACTTCCAGCCCGTCACGACGAAGGCCAAGACAACAAATACTACGGGGAGGTGACGATTTGACGCCTCTTTTCAGTGGCAAAAAGAAAACAAACTCTTCACCTGGTCCGTGGCCGACGTAGAGGAGCCCTTGGCGGTCTTGGCCTTCTTCTTGGACGAGCCTGCGGGCTCGAGAATCACCTGGAGAACGAAGTACCTGACGGAAGACGTTGATGCGAGCGTTTTCGCGAGGACCGCGGGGACGCAGACGTACACGGGTTAGGTTAAGCGTAGAAAGGTGGAGTGAACGGGCTAGCGCGTGTCTGCGAAACAATGCGGGGGGGAAAACTAGGGATTATCGCTTCAGTGGACAAATGTTTTCCGTGCACGTGGGTCATATGCATACCACATGAGAACAACGGCAGGCAGCAGCAGCAGCAGCAGCAGCAGCAGCAGCGGCAGCAGCAGCAGCAGCAGCAGCAGCGGCAGCAGCAGCAGGTGCCATGTACACACGAGCGCACAAACTGTACGGGATGACATGAGGGACGTCGGGTCGGAGCTGGCTCTTCAGCTGAGGAAAGGCGAGGCCCAACGCAAGAACACCAAACCAAGCCAAGCTTAACACAAAACATGCAGGCTAGCACACAAACGAAAGACGTAAAATCGATAACTCACTTGTCCATGTTCTTCTTCACGTCAATCAGGGTCAGCATCGCGTCCAGCTCCTCGTTCTCGTCCTCCGCCTCCGCCAGAACGGCATCGTCGCTCAGGCCGGCCGCGGGGTCGACCTTGCCCACTTTGCCGGTCGCCGAGCTCGGCGCAGCGTGGCCCTTAAGCCCCCGCTTTCCGCTGGCAGGCGCGGTGGTCTTCTTGCCCTTGGCCGCCGAGGCTGGCTTTTTAGCCGGGGCCGCCTTTTTAGCTGGTGCCGCCTTTTTAGCAGGGGCTGCCTTTTTAGCAGGGGCTGCCTTTTTAGCAGGGGCTGCCTTTTTAGCGGGGGCTGCCTTTTTAGCAGGGGCTGCCTTTTTAGCAGGGGCTGCCTTTTTAGAAGGGGCTGCCTTCTTGGCGATCTTTTTCTTCGCAGCAGCAGCCGTCGCTGCGGGCTTCTTCTTGGACACCGCGGTCTTCTTTGCGGCGGAAGACTTCTTGACTCCGGCGGCAGGCCTCTTAGTAACGGCGGCGCGGGTGGAGCCCATGATCGTGAATATCCTGGGCGGGTCGAGAGGCCACGAAAACTTGAGTGTAGGTGGAAGGCAGGGCGCGAAGTGTGGCAAGGATTCGTGTATTGCCTACGGTATAATTCCTGCGACTAACACCCAGCAAGTTGAGAACAGAGGGAGGCTCTCTGAGAGCCCGTTGAAGAGTGGCAGCGCTTCTTCCACTTCATGTACGAGGTTCCCCTTCGGGGCGTGGCTGTCACGCCTTCCGAGCGAGTGATGCGAGATGACACGCCCAAACGTTTCTCGTGGGTTCGTGTATCTTGTTGATAGCTAAATGCACGTGCTCATTTCCGAACGAAGATCGCGGGCATTCTTGGCGCAACTCGAACTGACAACAGCAACCATCGAGATTTGGGGATTTGGACATGCGGTTGCCTAGAACGTTGTCCGTGCAACGTCAAATTTAGATCACCAGCGCAATACCGGTGTAGATCATGTGGTGCTCTCATTTGAAAGGAAGAGAGCGTCAACGCCTGTGGCAAGCGGGAGTTCGTTGTGCACAGACTGAACCCTTCCCTGACAGGTTTTCAACTTTTCAGGACACATTTTTTAAGAATACAAGAACAAACATCAACACAGCCCTGCATATCCAAGGATGTTGAAAATACATGGCCGTCCACACCACGGGGCTACGGGTAGTTTTTATGTGTTGAACAGCGTTGCACAGTCAGCAACGACGCCCACTGGACATCGACAAGCGGAAGTCCCTTCATCTTGACAGTGACACAATAAATCTCATCACCGACATGCTCAGGCAACCAAATTGGTGCATCAAATAGTATCGAGCATTGCTCGTGGAAGTCGATTGATCAGATTCAGGCAGGATATGCGCATGTCGTTCAGCAGTGCTTCGCCGTGTCATCCCACAGTGCCGCACCGACAGACCAAGTCGCTGGCATTACTATCATAAACAAGACTTTCCCGCATTCGCGGAACACGTCACGAATGAATACACTTCCCAACACACGGACCAGCCGAAGCATGTGACAAGCCACGATCGGTGCCCCTCTCACTCTACTTAGCACATTCGGTACGGACTGTTGGTACTCCGTAAGCTACTGCTGTACGCCTGTATCTCCCTTTACAAAATTGTACCGAGGAGCCTCATGAGTGCCTATCTGAAGGAAGCATGAAGAGAATTGAATCGCTTCCGCAAGAGAAAGACATGCCGAAAGATTAGTGGGAACAATCTGGCCACACAATTGGCGCTGACCACACGCCGATGGCATCTTGTGAGGGTGGGGTACCATAACAAAGATGAGGCATGGGGGGGTGGGGTGTGAAGCGACACGCCGAGCCCGACGGACTTGAACCTAATTGCTTGTTGTAGACTAGGTAGACTAGGTCCTACCGCACTGAAACGCGAGGGGAAATGCAAGGGCCGGAAAGCGCGAGGTTGTGTCTAAGAGGCTAGGAATTGTAGTTACGGGTTAGGGGCTTCGAGGGATGGGGCAACTTGGCGAGCTGATTCGGCGCGTGTGAGCACACTTGCGAGCTCTACAGCAGCAGTCAGCGCGCATGTACATGTGTAGGTTGAGCTGCGATGGTCGAGAAATTTCCCCTTGGGTTCGCCATTCCTGATTCAGAGAGAGAGAAGAGAGAGAGAGAGACATTAGTCTAGACTGCTGAGAGATTGCCAATCTCCCATGGGAGATATACAGCAGTACAGGTGTCAAAGATGACAAAAGGTTTGGCGAGCGGTGAGATGGTTGATGTATCACAGCAAAACCTTTGATGGTCCGAAGCCAGAAGGGAAGGAAGGCAGTGTGACATTGCGCGAATTTGCATGACTGGTCATGTATCAAAATATTAACGGCCAAGGTCCTAGCCGCCCGTCCCGAGGCCCGGCAAAGAAGATACGGCTCGTGCCTCATGAACATACGGCTCGTCCCCTGCAGACACTACGCTCTCCGCGCTGGCGTTGGCTCGTTTATCGGAGCGATTTCGTGTCGAAGTGAGACTTTGTGCAGCTCACTTTGTGTAGACAGCCCCAACAGCAGTGAGCACCTACTTGAAGTCGAAGTGTTAGTGTTCCATAGATGCAACTAGGCCGCGCTTGACAGCGGGCATATAAGCTGTGGCTTACCACTTGTGTACGGTACGCAGCGGTTGTTTTTTTTCGGAGTGGTGCGATGCGCGGTGCGGTGCTCGCTTTCCTCGGTCGGGTGTGGGTGCTCGTTGTGGTTTGTGGGGGCTGTTGACCCTCGTTGTTAGTCTTCACACATCACATGTGAAGATGCGGCGCAAATATAGTAGCGGTTGAGAGATGAGGCACGGTCCGAGGAACGTTCCGTTTCAGCGAATTTGCACGACAAAAGCCTCGGTCGTATCGTTCTTTAGAACGCCCGCCTACAGCGAATTTGCGCCACAAGCGCAACGGTCGTGTCTTTCTTTAGAACGCCCGCCGGTGGTCACCTACAGCTCAGGTACTGCTGAACATGGAAGAGACTGTGTGAGCAAGGGGCTGAATCTTCGTAAACCTCGGTGTTCTCTCCCTAGGACGCCTTTCTGTCGTTGGTCACACTTGGACAAGTGACTACTGCTGCTGCAGCAGTGTTCTCCGAAGGCATAAAACGCGTGCGGGAATATGAAGACCACCATTCATTTATTTCCGAGTGTATTTGTGCGTGGATCGACATCGTGAAAATATGTATGTATCGGGAGGTCGGTATGGACTTTCGCCCACAACACACTGTATGACGACAAAAGCCCATGCGAAAAAAATTATTTGTCTACTCTGCGTGTAGACTATAGACTGTATATTTTGTTTTTCTCCTATCATTGGACTCTGTCGTCTGCTTCTCTGGCCCCTATCCTCCACTACTATCAGCTAGACGACCCAACCGGGGTCACATAGGTGGGGGGAGGGGGGTGGGGCCTCCTGCGGTTCCTGCCTGAGATATTTTTATCGCGAGAAGGGTACAGCGATCCCTTCCCTCGCGACTTATGAAGTCGATCAAGTTTACTAATAACAACGAGCTTTGCAGCACGTCGCTTCGAACGGAGACCAGTAGTAACGAATTGCTGCTAGCCATGGCCTACAACGGGATGGAAAAAAAAATCAAGAGTGAAACCGATGTTTTTTGCTTGCGCTTGAGGCCGTGCTGAGCACGTGCTGAGCACGGGCAGGCCATAATTGGCACCTGGATCAGGCGGAGAGAAACCCTCTTGTGCAGTCAGCAGCGGAGACGCAGACGCGCGGAATTGCCGCTGCTCCAGATTGTCGAAAAATTACCATGGTCGCTCACTGCTTGAGACAAAACCGGGCCAACAGTTTGCCCAGCAAATCAAAGAGACAAGGTACACCGTTGCAAAGGCATCTTGCGTACACAGTCTAGATGCGAAACTGTCGGCACAGCAAATTTCAAAACAGCACATGTAAACGTTTCACGCAGGTGTAAGCCCTTCGCGGGACGAGCACGAACACGACACAAAGCTGGCCTGCACGGCCGGCAAACAAAGGTCTGCATTTACAAAAACTCGGGGCGCACACAGGATTTGACAACATCCCCCTGCGTCTGCCCTCTTTGGTGGGCGTCTCTTCACTGACTTTGACATCTACTGGGAGAGCTAAGAACGCGTTGACAAAAAGGGATTTTTCATGCCTAACCCCCCCCCTTGCGAAGAACGCCACGCCCTTGCTGCGACGCCCTTGCTGCGACGCCCTTTCTGCGACGACATCGCTCTTAAACTTAACGGTTGTACAAACGTACTTGTAGATCACAAGGTGAAGACATGCCCTTCCACCGCCCCAACGAACGGCCGCCGTAACTGCGACAAACAGCGGGAAATGAAGCAACAGACAAGAACCCCTTACGTCTCGCTAGAAATTCTCGCTGCACGCTCTTGACCACACAAGCGACGTCTAGCCAACCGCCACCCACCCCTCAAAGGGGCAAAATCATAGAAGAAGACAAATGTGGGGTCTAGGCGCGCCTTCCAATGGCTTGCTTCAAGGGCAGGAACACACTGCTGGCATCTAAGCACAGCAGCGGTGGCTCGCCGAAAAGGCCAGATGACGCTCGCCGTGATTTCCAGGGTCATGATCCCCCCCCCTCCGCCGCAAACGGCGGCGCCCCTTCCTCCGCCCCCGCCGGAGAAGCCTTCTCCAGTCCCAAGCTTGGGAGGTGTGCTGCGGCAGGCTCGTAGCCCTGGGTAGTGACCAAGGTTCGTCGGAAGAGGGGGTTGAGAGGGGTACACAAGACATGTTTTCGGCGTTCCTGAAGCCATGGGACCACGAACATGGTTTGGCTTCCCTGAAGGTCTACGGTCATCAACTGTGTGGTACGTCGTGCAAGACGATGCGCGGTCCATCCTCCTCCAAACAGAGACACCTGGCACGTGCAGAGCCCCTGTCATGTACGCCGGGGGGGGGCAACTAGGCGCATCTGTTGACTGCCGCAAAAGCTAGTCAATGAGCACTCGGCTACGGGCGGCATTTACAGGAAAGGTATGACACAGATGCTTCTTTTTCTCGGTTCGAAAGCAACAGCAGCGCGACACCTCAGACCCATGGACCAAACAAACCCGGACGTGCACACCATGCAGCTTTCACAACAAGACTGCAACATGTCGGAGGAGAGTGCGAATTTCACGGTACCTGTGAAAATAGTACGATTACGAAGCACACCTTCACCCTGCCCAAAGCGGGAGCAAGTTTTCACGCATGAAAATGCGTATGGGCACAACGAATCTTCCAGGAAGCAGAACCCGGAAACAGACACCCCGCGTGCGTCACACCGCCACCCTTGTCTGAAAAAAAAAAAGACGCAACCATTCGCTTCGTCATTACTTCAATCAGCGCTCACACACAGAGCGCAATTCTGTCGGGTAGTTGGTAGCTCCAATCTGTGGTCAGTCAGTCAGTCACACGGAAGGGTGTCCTCTACCTGAGGCCGTCAACCCTCCCCTCCTGCGGTGCTTGCCTTCGGGTATTATCGCGCGTGCGGCGAGGAAGAAAAAAACATGACGAAAGCCCCGTTCCCGTGTAACTCACCGCCGCGCGAAGCTGTTCGACAAACGCCGACACCCCAGCGGGATGCGCGAGGTCGCCAAACGCGCTCAAGATGACCTCCCGAGTTATCGGTGTTTCCAAGGGCGCGCAATCTCGCGGTCTCGCTTGCTGCGGGAGGGGGGGGGGGGGGGGGGG